TTTTTTTTCAGATTCCGAAGTCCGAATCGGACAGGTGGTCATCACTGTTCCGCGATGTCCAAACCGTGGCCACTTCATTGGGAGTTGTTGATTTTTGTGTGACGCAGTCCTCGCTCGAAGAAACCTTCCTACGGCTTTCCCTAGACAGCGAAACTGATGGCATCGACAGCAGTTCAAGAACAGCAGTCGAGAACAGAACAGAACAACGAACGAGCAGTTCAAGTCGATGACCTCATTCTCTTGTTCTGGACTGCATTAGCGCTCTTGGTTTAGTTTCACACCCGTCGGGTCTTGTATTAGTATTTTGAATATTTTCACCACGAAGTTGGCTAATCTAATTTGATGCCCGTGTTTTTCTACTTTGCTAATTTTTCAAGAAAAGCTGGAAAGCTGGTAAGCCAGTTGTGAGCTTTGCGATAATTAATCGGGTGATGTTGTCATTTCCGCTAATTTCTTGGTTTTGGGTATTTCGTTGAAACTGTTCCGACCGTGACCTTTGCCTTCCTGGGAAGTGAACGGGTCAGACAACATCAGCTTTTGAAAGCAATATTATGAGATGTTCGCGGCAATCACAAAAATAGACCGGTAGGCTGCTTTCATAGTCCACGATTTGGCGAACGACCGATCGCGCGATCGGTCGCTCGTCAAATCGTGGACTATGAAAGCAGCCATATGAAAACAAAGCTATGCTGCATCTGCGTGTGCTAAGCCTGCCCATGCAGATGCAGCGTAGGTGCGTAATTGGGAGTTGTTAGAAGGAACAGTTCATATATTTTCCTCTAGTGAGCTTCCTTTTTTCGTAGTAACTCTAGTCATTACCTCATGCCCAGCTAATAGCTAATATTCTTAGAATCTGACATATTTGCTTTCACTTTCGCTGCAATATGGAATTATTTCGGCTCTGCTTCACTCGCTTTGTCATTCATTCCGAACTGTACATTCAATTTCATTTTATCAATATGTGATACATTCCTTGGCCTGGTGCCGGGGCCATTTTTACATGTTTCCTTACAATTGCGTTGGTTCCTATAAACCTTTTTCTTACTTGCTTCGGTTGTTCTCCAGCCCATCTCGCATTGTCATTTGATTGAGTAATTGGCTATGCTTTCGTCGGTCATGTTCCCTTCGTTCTCCACTTCCTCACTTTCGCATCTTTGATTAACAGTGATCATATTGAGAAAAGTTTTCGTATTACGATCGGCGAACTCGAAATAAACAGATTATTCTTGGTGTGTTGTGATGTAGCCGGTATTCCGTGATGAGGCGGTTATACCAAAAGCGGGGGTCAAGGGATAAGTCAGGTATTTATTTTTTTTATTTATATATTTATGCATGCCACTTCATGCGGCTTGAAAGGTAAAAAGATGACTATTATTGACGTTGGAGATATTTTTGTGACCTTTAAATATTTATATGTTCGGATGAAAGACATTTGATCTACTCATGGCAGTCATCATTTGCCTTCAAGCTGGTAGGTGGAACTTTTGAACTGAAACCGAGAAACTCCAGCAACATATGTTGTCTACCCTGACTACTGGGCTACATGACCAATCAATTTAGGTCCTCCTCGATGACCTTTTTTTATCATACCATCTAGTTTTCCAGTGGTTCAGTGAAATTCAAGTATCAGGCTGCTTTCAGACTCCACCGATTCGTACGTCCATCCGTGCGTCCGTTCAACGCGTGCACGACGGCGGTCGCGTGCGTGGCGCGCCGGCGGTTCTAGAAAGGTGTTGGCGGCGACTGATCGGTATTCGGGCTGTCAACACCTTTTTAGAACCACCGGCGTGACAGGCACGCGACCGCCGTCGCGCACGTGTTGAACGGACGGACGGACGGACGGACGGACGGTCGTCGAAGTCTGAAAGCGGCCTTAGTCCGCTATCGCTTTTTGCGGGATTTGCGCAGTTTAACTGTCCAAAACGTCTGATCCAACCATCTCTGAGATACTTGGATTGAAATTGATCTAGATTCTCTTGTTTACTTAGTAATGAATTCATTCTCACTGCAGTCATTCTCAGGGAGAGAAATAGAGTCTGCATACAGTCAGTCATCAGTAGAGTACATCAAAATGAACAAGAATTGTGGGGTGGACGGCTAAGGAAAAATTGGAGATCGTTCTCCTTCAAAAGCGTGGAGGTGCTATTATTGCATCGGTTCAAGGAGGTCGCTCGTCTTCTGTTCCGACTTAATATTAGGCTAGATGCCTTGTACTTCCTTCGCTTTCATGGATTTTTTGTTCCTTCCCAGTGGTCCATCGAAAACCCATGCAGAGCTCTCACATTGAAGGATGAAACGTTTTCTTTCTTGTTCAAGTTTACGATGCCTGGGAGAACTGCTACGTGAATAGGCAGCGGTATTGTTCAGGCAAATCTTCAGGCCTCCAATGGTCTGTCCACATACGTTCTGGGTGTCTTCAATTTCGCAGATCTTCTCAATGTACAGTATAGACAGGAATACTTGCGGCACGTTATTTCGTGAACTCGCGACAGTGTCAGGCTCATGTAAGGGCTGTTCCCTTACCCGTGCCACATACCTGACTCATCAAAAAAGGCCTCAGGCAAGGACAGGTGGTTGGTACGTAGGACTAATTGCTCAGTTGCAGGCTACCGCAGTGGGTAGTTGACAAAGCAGTGAGACAGTTCTGAAGTTCACTTATTTAAGTTTCGGTGTGGACTCATAATGCTGCAGTTTTTCCCCTTTTATTTCCAATTCCTTTTTAGAGCGATTGCAGCTCTCTTGCTGTCTGCACCATTTTCTACTCTCTTTTCTTCGACCCGACTCTTTCTTATAGGACAACATTGTTGGGATAATGCTCTCATTGTTGTAGGTGTATGGTTCGTGGTTTGATGTTTAAAAAATAGCTTGCATCTATTCTCAACAGCGGAATACTGGGAAGCGGAATTCTTCAAGTTTAGTGGGAATTCATGGGAGTCAAGCCGATGGAACTGTCAGTAGTGCCATAATTCTGATCTTATCGATTGCTCCACTAACCATATTGCACACCTTGCGTCGATTCTAAAGTTTTCTGTCGATTTCTCTGCTTTATATTATTCTGATCTCGTGACTTTGATTAATTTCTTACTTGACCACATCTTAAGATTTTCAGATTTCTGTGATATCACAGCATCGAAGGTTTCATTAACATTTTCATTACTTGATTTTAGAAATATTTTACCCATCAGTGTGGCATTTGACTTCGGATTTTTGTTTCGCTTATAAATTCCCAAATTTTGGAATAGGAAAACCTCAATTTTTTGGTCACGTCCACCCAAAACCTGATACGAGTAACTCAGCGGATTTTTGTTGTAACTACTTTTCTCCAGAATGTCTTTCGCTATGACGTCGTTTTTGCTCAGAAGAGAACACCACACTTCTTACTGTACGTTTATTGCAGCTGCTGCATCTATGAAAGCGATTCGGAACTGAAGCTGTTATTTCTCGACTTGACGTTCAGGGATAGGGGTAGATTTCAGCTGATATGGTTCACGACGTCGCAAAGGAATTCCTGAGTTTTCGTCGATTCTTTCGAGAGGCGAGCTCCGTTTCACAGGTTCTTAAAGGACAGTTGTAAAAAGAGTTCTTCCTGCTAGTACAAGTTAGATTGATGGAGAAACATTCACAGCTCTTCTTTGCATGTTTTGCCAAAGTTGAAGATCGAATCGTTCTTTTACGCTGCACTTATTTCGACCAATACATTTTAGTGACTGCCCTGGCATTTTTTACAATACCCACGTTCTATCTGGTCGTCTCCTCATCATTCATTGAGGAAGTTTTGTTGTGAAAAATTCAAAAATCTTTGCTGAGCTGCTCAGCTTCCTCGTCCTTTCGCAGTCCGTACCAGCGTTTCTGTAGTGCTAGCAGTGGAAGCACTTCATGCTGCCCATAAACATTTGTTAGGAGTTTATCAAGTATACAGGCCAGCTGTACCAACTGTTCTTCTGTTTCTGGCGTTCTTCCCCTCTCCTCCTTCGGAGGCGCATGTCTGGACGATTGTTCTGTTTGAGTTTGTTTAGGACGGTGTTCATTGTTTTCTAAAAAGCATGCTGTTTGGTAGGTGCGGTAACCTTTCGCCCACAGCGGAATCATGGATGCTTCATTGGGAAATCAACGTTGTTATCTCAGTTATCCTGCTCTTAATGTGGGACGGTAGTTTTTTGGTGATTAGTCTGAAAAATAGGTCAGTTTTTTTTATTTTACTGTTTTGCTTCATATGTTGATGGCTGAATGCGTAGCTGGGCTTCGTCTCTACACCGTTTCTTCCACGTTTTTCCAACTTCGCCCACGTCACCATCGATTTACTTTACTCCCTTAATTTTCGTCATTCTGCTAAGCTACTCATTTTCGAAATCACTCAGGTTCTGCGGTATGCCTATTCCCTACCAAGTAAGACATTTTCAGGGGCACGTGTAGCGGCAGCTTTCAGTCAATGTGACTGTTTGCGACAATTATGGCTGCTGACACGCAAGAATCTGATTCTTGCCCGACGCGATAAATTATGGACGTTGTTCGAAGTGGTTCTTCCACCTATATTCATTCTTCCTTTCACATTGTTCATTGCAAGGGTCAGTCCATGTTTATCTAATTTAAATTCTGTTTATTGTGATCGGTAGCACTTTTTTGATGGAACAGCGTTTATCCCTGAATAGATTTCGATGAAAAGTTCGGATCACAGCTGTTGAAATAGTATTAACAGCTTAGATGGTGCTCATCAACTAGCTGTGGTGTTGAACAAAAACTTGTTGGAATCCAATTCTCACACTGACTGATATAAGTTTTGTAGTTAAATTAGCACCTTCTTCAGCACGGCACCGTGCACTTGTCACCAAGTAGATCGTTCGAGCCTGTGCCTCTGGAAGGTGGAGCAGGAGACATTACTCGAAATGTTAGTCTCGAAACTTCCATACCAACGCGATGGTGTAATCGTGAACGAGTCTTTATAGCTTATTTGTAAGTTTACAGTTTACAGTTTTGTTTCTTTGTTCGGTGAAAGATCCATTTATCCAACTCGATATCTATGAACCAACCTGTGCAATTTATTTGATTTTGCCCATATCAGCAAAACAGAAAACTACTGAATAGCGAGTCCTACTGGGCTTCTGTGATGAATTCGTTGTGTCAGTTTAATTCAGTTTAATTCAGCACACATGAAAGTCGTGATTCCGTGGAGGATATGATGAACAAACTGGCCGCTCGATTCAGCAACTCTTCTGTAAAAGTAGACGTCGTATACATGAAAGACGAGACGCACTTACTTGATGAACTTCGTGCAGACGCTCCCAATATCAGTGATTTTGGTTGCTCTATCAACAAGTGAGTCCTACTGACATCTTTCATAGTCCACGATTTTGCGAGCGACCAGTCGCGCGGTTGGTCGTGGACTATGAAAGCAGCCACTGAGTGCACGTTTCTCCATACCTGTCATAACTTGTGTTAATGTTTGGATTTCAGATTCGCAGGCGGTGTAATATTCAACCAGTTTGACACAAAAGCTGCTAAGCTCAGTTACAAACTACTCGTACCCACTGGCACCAATATTTCTGATGATTGGAATTTCGATGAGGAATGGCGTAAACCATATGACTTCGATAAGAGTTTCAGCAGCAGGTGGCTCAACTTAGTATGAAATTAATCTTTTGTTTACATATTTCGTGGTTGCTGATGGTTTCTTACGAATCCAATAATATTGTAACGGAGGATACTCACAACTTTCGCGACGAAGTCGTAAAAAAGAGCTGTAGGTTTCTAGTCTATAAAGGATACTTGTGTTCTGGTCCGACGATGGTCCATCTGCATGTCCACCTACAGATAACATGTTTCAACTTTTACACGGTTCAAGCCATAGCGACTGAACTGATTCCCGCCATAAAAGCCTTCGAACAGCAGTCCGCAGTCCTCTCGAGAATGCTCAGTCCCGGACAGCGACCGGCCGTGTGTGAAATGACAGTGACATTGTCAGCGTTACTCTCAATTACTAGGGATTTCTCATTCAAGATAAATAGTTACAATTCCCTATACCGATCACGGAAGTGTTCCAGTTTCAATGTATTGAATCGGACGCTTCTTTACAGGAGGCCTTGCTATAGAGATCTTCTGCTTATGAAGAGTGTAAATTAATCTGTTTTTGAAAATACTCAACAACATAAAGTTACGGAAAAATAATCGTTAGGATTAGCTCTACTCCTGAAGCGAGAAATACGGAATCAGGAACCTTGTTTTTTTGACGGTTTTATATGGATTATATATGTACCAGTCGGGTCGCTCGGCTGACGCCAGGCTCTCCTCCTTCTTGTGGCAAAGAATGAAAACTTCCTCTTTTTTCGTGGGTCATTTCGCTGTTTCGCTGAACGAGAGTATAGGTTATCAAATGTCTTTGAAGATGTATCTCGTTTTCTCAACGGATACATCATTAAATGAAGATCCAACATTATTAGCGGTCGGATAAATTTTGCCAAGAATGATGTCAAAGTAGAGAGAAACCGTGATTTTTCACTGTATCACAAGTTTTGCTGGGTAGCGGTCGTAATCCAAAGCGAGAAGTGGACCAAATTCATCTCCTCACTATCACACCATTTACCCTTCTTGTCGAATGAATCGTATCAAAAAGTCAAAGCTAGATCGTAAATAACAAAGGCACTAGGATTTAACTGGTGAGTGTATCTTTTTTCTCTAGGGCCTCTTCTATTGTCAGTGTCTCCTCCGTCTCCTCCTATTGATTTTGCTCTCCAAGTCCACGGGATCAGGAGTTATGGATCTCCACTCAGACATTCATTTCGCGGGAACCCCGTCCCTTGGGGGTGGAGTTCGGCCCTACTACTCACCAAGTGCTCCCATACCGCCTGCCGCCCGCCTGGCTGCTTTCATAGTCCGCCGGCCGGCG